AAGTGTAATATGCTAATTAGACTGGACAGCCGAATGACCTTCTGGACATCCTTCCGTTCGACCTTGTGGACGAAGCCGGGGCTGTGAGGACCGAGCCCCTTGCACAAATTTCATGCATTGGGCCTCTAGTAAATTATATACATGGACTACTCTCCTAATGCATTATGTGCTTAATAAAACACTCAAAAATTAAAATCTATAAAGGACGAGATGAAAACAAACATTAAAAGGTGAAACATTCCCCTTCCCCCCCCCTCCCAAAAAAAATGCTCACACACATGTCCTAGATGCACACACCCCACTTTGAAGCTTTTCCCCAGGGTCTGGGTCCAGTGGCCTCTCTCTGCCAGACTTCTCACCGGGTCAAGTTCATGAATGGTTAAACAAAGAAATGGAAAAGAGGAAAATGGAGAGAGACGGAAAAGCGGCAAGTCCTACAGTAGAAAGAAAAATGCTAATGCCCCACCCCCACCCCCTTAGATAAAAATAACTCCCAACATTGTGTGGCTGGGAAGCTGCACCTGTCCTACCTCTAAGGAAAGATGAATACCCTAGTGGCAGGTTCTCAGCAGAAGAGGCCCCTGCAAGCACTTTGACCATTCACACATAAAAGAACCAGATTTCCAAAAAGGAACCACTCTGCCTTTATGAGCCATGGCAGATTATAAACCACACTGCACATTGTCAACCAAGCTGCGCTGTGTCACAGACCTGAGTGCGGAAGAGCTTTGAAAAGCTGCAAGTTCTAAAAACAGAAGGCCTCGCCATTCAAATCCCTCTCTTCCTCAGCTCGAGAAGTCGGTTAGCCCGCCTGGTTCTTAGAGCCCTCAGCCCTTAAATGGGAATATAACATGTGCACGTTACATGGCCTATTCGTAGATTCAAACTCAAACCTGACATTGATGAAGGCAAAGGTGTTCTGCAAATTATTAATATAAAACGCTTTGTAAATGACAGGAAATAAACACCTTTGTTCATCGGGTCATAAAAACAAAAGCCAAATTCACAAAGCAACTTACATGTGCCCCTCTAGAAAAATCTCTGTGTAACTTCCAGTTTTAAACTCCACGCTGCTCCAGTTCCCAGCACCTCAGCCATTCCCAGCTAACCCTGTTGTAAGTGGCCTATGTACCCGCCCCCCTCTTTCCCCCTCGCGGACCTGGCAGAGGCCATGCAAGTGTACGTTGTCTAGGCGACACATCTGCATCCCGGAAGTGAAGGCGGCAGGGCAAGGGAACAATGGCTGACCTGTGGGGGCCTGGAGGCTATGGCCGCATGGGGCCTGGAGCGGCCTGCACCTGACGCCAGGGAGAAGCCTTCAGTCTTCTGTTCGCTAGAAATGCCCCCAGAACGGCCGGGCAACCATCTCAGTAGCCCATCTGAGAAGTGTCACCGGATAAGCTCCGAGAGCTTTGGGACCCTACACCCCAGTCTGAATCCCCTTGTGTCCGGGAAACCCAGGCCAGAGGTGTCCTTCCCAGATGAAGTCATTGAAGATGACTTACACAAACATCTTTAAAGCTTCAAAGTTTATTGCTGTACATTTCCGCATAGCATTTACTATGGAAATACTAATAGTGCAAATATTTATTTTGGACTTGGTAGCATTTGAGAGATAACAAAGCTTTTTAAATCTTTTGTAATCATTTATGATGACCTAGGCTAGTCAACTTATTTTTAGAATTCAAAACAAGTGATGTTCTATTCAAAGGGAGTACATAATGCTTTTTAAATCTCCGTTCTAGAACAAAGGAAGCCTCCAGGGGCACGCCTTTCCTTGATGGCATACACATCTCGCAATATTTTTCCAACTGCAAGACTCTTTGTTCATTCACAAACCCAATCAACAAGCATTTACCGAGAAACTGTTAGCTGGTAGGCTCTGGGGACATTAGGATGAAAAGATGCAACCTCTGCTTTCACAGTGCTTACAATCTCCAAGTAGAAACAGACATGCAAAAAAAATGTATAATACAAAACAGTAAAGCGCTCCCCTGGAGGTATTTACAAAGTGCAATGGGAACTTGGAAGAGGGGGAAAGTCAGGGACAGCTTCACCGAGGAGGTAGCCACTGAGCTGAGACGGGACTAATGGACGGGAACTAGCCATGTGTGCAGGTGGGCAGACAGAATGACAGGTGCCAAGACACAGAGGCCGCAGGGGACCTGGAAGGAGCAGGCTATGCAGTTTCTTGAGCCGAAGATGCGATGGAGAGAGGGCAGGAGGAGCGAGGCCAGTGGGCGGGACTCAGATCATGCAGAGCCTGTGGACCAGTCTTCCATTTATTCAGGAAAGGCCATCGGTGAGAGCTGTGTGCCGGGCCGGGCTAAGCTACGCGCTGGGGTTAGAACAGGAACAAGACGGCACAGCCTTGCTCTCGTGGAGCTTACATTCTAGCAGAGAGACAGGTAAGAAGCCAACAAATGAACCAATCCCAGATTTAGAAGACTTCATCGAAGGAAGTACACAGAGTACTGAGGTGGAAAATAAGCATTTGAGGGTTGGGGTGTTGGGAGGATAAGAGTCGTCTTGGAAGTGACAAAAATGACACCCAAGGGATCACACTAACGTGCTAGCAGGGGAGCACTCCCTGAGCACCAGCGCTGTGCCCAACACCCACTAACAGGACCCTCAGCACGGCTCTGAGGTAGGAGTTATTCCTGGGCCATCGATGAGGAGCATGCTCAAGATTCAGTCACCTGATCAGTCACACCCATGGCAAACCAGGGTTCAAGCACAGGTTCTCTTTACCTCCACGTGCTCACTCTGACAAGTTATTCTGAACTATACCTACAGGCATAGGGAGGGACTTTGAGATGGGAAATGATAGTCACATTTGCTTTCAGGACCATTTCTGATGGCTCTATGGAAGAGAAAAAGGAAGGGTGGGGAAGGAAGTGGGCAGGTAAAAAATAAAATGAAGTTTTTTAAAGGAATGCACTGAAAGCCCAGAAGAGAGGAGAGGTTGCATGAAGGCAGTGGCTGCGGGGATGGAGACGCAAACATGAGACGTGCGGTTGGTTATCAGTTCTAACAGGGTGACGGGATGCTGGAGGCAAGGGGAGGAGTGGCAGCTTTCTGGGCTCTGCCTTGGCAACTGGACCAGATGATGTGCCTTTACATGGGGGAGGGAATGCAAGGCCGTGACAGGTTTGTGAGGATGAGACAAGGAGTTTGATTTCGGTTGTCTCATCCTGTGGGGTTACTGGACTAAGGAGCCGGGCCCCAGTGGGACAGCATGCAATGGCTTTCACACCTGCTCTCCACCTGAGCAAAGTCTATAGGAACGAGAAAGTTCTGTGCGTGTGTACATTGCAGTGCTGCTTTTACAAAAGCTGTTTTTGAAAACACGTACATCTTGGTCAGACTGCTTTGTAAAAAGAGCATACGATCACCAAGATGAAAGTGCCCAAGGCTGATTGCAAGAAGAACCATAGGCACAGGAGAGGCTAAAAAAGCCTCTGGGCGCCCTTCTAACTAGTCTGACCAGTTCCTAAAAGGAAATCACCGGGAACATCACACTGACCCCATGGGGAGCCCCTTTGCCAAGTCTCCCCAGTGTTTGCCGGTGTCCCTGCTCATCCACTAGCAGGGCTGCTCCAGGACCTTGGGGCCGGCAGCCCAGGGACCAATGCTAAATGCAAATCAGGAATTCCAAGAAAAACTGCTTATGTAATCTGGCGTGAGGTCCAGAGAAACAGCAGCCCAAACCTAGCCAGTGTGTACTATGGACTATTTTCTCTTCCCTTTCCTTCCTCGGGGACTGAAGGTCGTGGCAGCAACTGGACAAGTGACACTTACACGGAAGCGGTCACATCCTTGACACATCATTTCTGGGTCTAATTTTAAAAGAACTCAGAGCTAAGGAGTACAGAAACCCATCCTATAGAATGACATTATTTTTGCTCTATTTCTCCAAATGTGCTTATGTTTGCTTATAACCACGGCCTCCTTTCCTTAGCATCAGGAACTTAATTGTTTTGATTTGTAAAATTCAATAACAAATGCTGATTTTAATAATTAGATATCAAGGAATTTAAGTGGCAATGAAGTGACACTTTTGAGTCTGAACAGGAAGAAAAAACCTGTTAATACTCAGGAGGCCGGGTATTGACCAGCAGAGGATTGCAATCTGGTTCATGAAGCAACCCGGCCTAGAAAGCTGCCTCTCTCTTGGCCAAGGGTCTGACCTGCACTCGTTCACTGGTGGACACTGGGAAATGCAAAATGATCTAGAAAAACAACAAACGCAGGCTTCCAGGAACACCGAAGGACACTTGCATACCGGATTCCTGCCCACGGGAAGAAAATGACTTCTCACAGGATTAACAATGTACTAGTCCGAGGCGAGGGGAAAGGACACATGCTAGCTGACGGCGTAAAATTCTGGTGAAAACACACTCCTCATTACCTGTTGCAGATGTGTTACCTCCTCCCTCCCAGCTCCATTTCCCACCTGGGGCCCAGGGGACACGGCTGAATGGACACCGGGAAGGCCCAGGACAGGCAGGGTGTGTTCTTTAACAGAAAGAATCCCAATCGGTCTGTGAATATAATCATTTATTTGTCTTTACAGTGATGATGGAAGAATGTACAGATGTCCTCTTTCAATAAAGTATAAAAATCTGCTTATATACAGTGAAGTCACAATAATCTTGAATTGGGAAATTTATTTGGTACTCATTCATATTCAAACTGGGGCAGACAGATAGTTCTCATAAGTGCTACATTTCCAGTAGATTGCACCTGGCATCCAAAGCTCAGCTTCTTCCTGCTTGATATTACAAAAGACTAATTTTAAGTCCTAGGACTCAAAATAAACATCATTTTTTTTGAATAATAGATATATACATCAAAAATACATCTAAAAAGGCATTGGTTAGTGCTATTAGAAAGCTTTATGTGCTCGGGTACATTTGTTTTTTTCTTACAGGCAAAACCCAGTGGAAACGTTTTGGTTCAATTCTAGGAATTTGCTCTTGGGGAACGTCAGCCAAAAGTTACCTGGAAGGAAAACAAAAAGCACGTCAGTCCGTCAATGATTTCACAGATGCGGTCAGCAAAACTTAGGAGAGTAATTAGAGGCTAAATTTCCCTTAGCACCACATTTTTAAAGCCTTGATTAGCATTTAGTTGTGACGTGTTGTACATAACAAGTGCTCAACACGTCCCCTCATCTTTCAGGCCCAAAGAAACATCACTTCCTCAGGGAGGCCTGGGACCCTCACGTCACATTAGCCCTCCGCCAGCAGCTCTCACAGGACCTTTGTTTTCCTATGAAGCACCTAACACAGCTGGTGATCGCAGTTATGTGAGCGTTCGTGTGCGATGGCTGCATGTAGGCTCTGTGAGCACGGGAACTGTGCGGCTGCGTCCCTCCCTGCGTCCCCAGGACCTGGTACTGAATACAAGGGTGACCGCAGGACGAGGTCATATCCCCAGACTGAAGGGTTCAAAACCAACTTCAGGGCCACAGCTGTGGGACTCACTCTGCTAGTTCCCTCCCGCCCGCCCCTATTTTTCTCCCCCTCCTCAGTGCTGGCTTCAAAGGACACAAATAATCAGCTCTGAGTTGTGGAAGGTCACCCAAGGCCTGTGAAATGAAGCAGCAGAATGGTTGGAAGCAAGAGGCCACAGAAGCCGAAACCGGTTTAGCTCAGTGGATACAACGGCAGCCTGCGGACTGAAAGGTCCCAGGTTCGATTCCGGTGAAGGGCATGTACATCGGTTGCAGGCACATCCCCGGTAGGGGGTGCGCAAGAGGCAGCTGGTCAATGTTTCACTCTCACTGATGTTTCTAGCTCTCTATCTCTCTCCCTTCCTCTCTGTAAGAAATCAATAAAATATATATTTTTAAAAATAATAAATAAAATAAATTAAAAAGAGGCCACAGGAGCACGCGGAGACCTGACTGTAATCATTTAAAAAGAACATACACCCAATGGAATAAAGTCCATCAAACTATCATGTGAGATGAGGATGGGATCAAATCTGCACTTTTCAAAGCAAGGTGAAATGTCCTCATTCTCCCTGCATCGAATCTATGCTAAACAACATCTAGAAAAAGGGCGAGATCTTGCCTACATTGCAGCCATAATTTTAAAGGGGAGACAAAGGACCCCAGAAAGCTATGTGTGGTGATGACAGCCTCCTCCACCTCCTGTGGCCATGTCTCCCTCCCTGCAGAGTCCTGTTCTCGTTTCTAAGGGGCCTTGCAAGCTTCTCCCGTCATTACTAAGGAGGCGAGGCCCCCAGCCAGTGCTGCAGGGCTGTGCCTGCCCCCCACGGTGAGAAGGAACGGGAACGAGAGCACAGCCGGGCGAAGGTGGAGCTTTTCATTCCCCGCTGAGGCGGCGGCGACAAAGGAAAGCAAGAGGCCATCCCAAGGGCCGAGTCTCCCTCTCTCCCAGCGTCAGCACCTGACCGCATCCTTACGCTTCATCTCCACTGTCCATTTCAATGTCCATCTCTTCAGTGTCAGCAGCTCGGGACAAGATGTCTGCCATCAGGGCTTCCTCCAATTTCTTCCGCACTTGTTGTACTCGCTCTTCCTGTTTCCTTTCGAACAACCGAATCAAAAGACACACGTCAGTGGGCAAGCAATGGAAATAGGGAGCTGCTACTTAAGTTCATCTCTACTTCAGAATCATGAATGTTCCGGGAAAACACTGTAAAGGTGGCTTCTGTACTATAGAGGCGGTGAGCAGGGAGCCCTCACCGCACAGAGGACTCTGGGAGGGGTGGGTCTGTTTCAGTGACCTTTGCTCCCACTTCCAGAATTTCCAATACGTGAAGATTGAAGTTATTCCTATAAAGGGTAATTATAAAGATCTCAGAAGCAGGGCTGGGATAGGAAGTAACATGCAATCTACAGAAGAAGAGAGACTCGGGTGATGAAGTGCTGAGCAAGTGGAAGGAGGCGGGGGAGCTGCATTGGTTTGGCACGGTGGCTGTGAAGGAGGCGAAGGCAGCTGTCTACACGCTCTCTACACCAAGGACAGAAATGAAAAGAGCCTTCAACTGCGACAAGCTAAGTGGGTCTAGAACAGTGGTCGGCAAACTCATTAGTCAACAGAGCCAAATATCAACAGTACAACGATTGAAATTTCTTTTGAGACCCGAAAACCAACTTCTGCACATGGGCCACGAAGTCTCAATCGCACTGTACGTGAGCGCCCACATGCGGTATTTTGTGGAAGAGCCACACTCAACAAACGACAAGTGTTGGCGAGGTTGCGGAGAAAAAGGAACCCTCGTGCACTGCTGGTGGGAATGCAGACTGGTGCAACCACTGTGGAGAACAGTGTGGAGTTTCCTCAAAAAACTGAAAATGGAACTCCCATTTAACCCAGTAATCCCACTTCTAGGAATATATCCCAAGAAACTAGAAACACCAATCAGAAAGGATATATGCACCCCTATGTTCATAGCAGCACAATCTACAATAGCCAGAATTTGGAAGCAGCCTAGGTGCCCGTCAGCAGATGATTGGATCAAAAAACTATGGTACATCTACACAATGGAATACTATGCTGCCATAAAAAAGAAGGAATTCTCATCATTTGCAGCAACCTGGATGGAATTGGAGAACATCATGCTGAGTGAAACAAGCCAGTCAATGAAAGAGAAACACCACATGACCTCACTCATTTGTGGATGATAAAGAACATCATAAATTGATGAACCAAGAGACAGATATAGAGACAGTAAAGCAAAAGGCAGACTGTCAAATTATAGTAGGGAGGGGAGGAAGATCTGGGGGAGATAATAGATCAACCGAAGGACTTGTGTACATGCATATAAGTACAACCAATGGACATAAAACTCTGGGAAGGGAGGGTATGTACGGGAGGAAGGGAGGGGGGCAAAAAAAATCAATAAAATATATTAAAATAAATAAATAAAAATAAAAAAAATAATTGGTAAAACCACCATAAAAAAAAAAAAAAAGTGAGTTAATAACACAAGCCATAAAAGTAGGGGGGAAGGGGTTCTGAGCCATTAGGTGGAAAACAAAGCACTGAAAGAAAGGCTATTGAATGGATTTTATCTCAAAAAGCAGAAAACTGAGAGTAGCTTCCTGACAGGCAATAGAGGGATTCCTAAAATAGTTCAAGCAAGCAAAGCGGCGTCACATCCAGGCCACATGGGGAGGCGAGGCTGAAGCAGCACAGGAGGAGGGAGAAAGCGGCACATTAGAGCGTTAGGAAACACAGGTGGGAGGGTGAGCCTGACTAGAAACCAGAACCTGTGGCCTCCTGAGACCAGAGGAAAGCTGGTGAGGACGCATGTTGAGTGAGAGGAGAAGCCCACTGCCAAGAGGTGCAACAAGGAATACTGAGATTCAAGAAAAGGACAGGACAGGAAAAGAAGAAAAAGAAAAGGAAAAGAACAGAAAAAGAAGGCTCCCAATGGAGGAAGCAAACGCAGCACTGCGCACCCCTGGGAAGTGTTCCGGAAGACAACGAGACTCCCTGATGTTCATCCTTGGGTGCCCAACCAGCTACCCATTCCAGCCCACGTCTCTCTGTCTCATGAGACTACCTCAAGGTAGTGAAGTTAACAGACGCTGTGTAGCCACAAAAACCTTATGTCATCTTTCTTAATCTCTGAAAACAGCACAAAGCATTGGAAGGATAGAGCTGCACTTTCTACATGAATTTCCAAAGAGAGGGGGGCTGTCGCTGAGTGAGTCAGAGCCGCCCAGCCTGTCAGACGTTCATGGAGGGCAGCCGGTCAAGAGGAGCCGTTTCTTCCTTCTATAGTCAGTCCTGCCGCAGGCTCAGTGGCTCGAGGGCTATGACAAATGATACATGGATCTCACTGGCAGTCTCTCACTCCTAATAACAGAGTGTGGGAATGTGCTCGGCTGCCCCAGAGCACTCCCATCAGGAAGACAAGGAAAACGGGTGAATGGTGCCGCTGCTGGAGAAGTCTGTCTTAGACTCTAGTATTTGCCATGATTCTCTTCCACCCTGAGAATTACATCCCACATTTAATGAAAGCTGAAGTTAAAGCATCTGCCCACTGGGGTAGGGAGAATTCTGACACAGTCCCCAAGATGCCCCTGTCCCATCCTTGTGTAATTCCCTTCCTTTAGGGACAAGCAGACCTTGTGAATAGGATGGGATACACCACCATGATTATTTTACTAACCATGACCTTGGATTAATCCGAAGAGGTTATGGTACAGGGTCAGGCCTAATAAGAAGAGCTCTGCAAGGTGCTGGCCCTTCCTGAAAGAAGGTGGAGGGAACATGGAGGAACCAGGGAACAAGACGCTGCCATCAGCCTCTAACTGCTGAGAACTCACCCCTCCCCCGGCGCCCCCCACACACACACACAATCTACAAGAGACAGGGACCTCAGTCCTACAACTAAAGGAAATGAATTCTGAAACAACCATGGGGGCTTGAAAGGGGACTCGAACCTCCAGAAGGAAATGCAGTCCCGCAGACACTTAAGATTTCAGCCTTGTGAGACCCAGGCAGAGAATCCAGCCGTGCCTGGCCTAGACTCCCGACATACAGAACGTGAGCTATATATAGGCACTATTTTAAGCTGCTAAGTTTATTATTTGTTACTTGGTATAAGAAACAAATATACCTGTGGATGAAAATATTATCAAGGATGCTGCAAAACTATATACTTAATGTTGAGACCTTTAATAGAATGTTTAATATAAACAGAATATTGTCTGCACAATTGGAGAAAGGGCAACAATTCCAATTGCAGTAATTTATTTTGAATCTGTACTAATTCAACAAAAAACATTTGGTTAATAATCTCTGTTATGACAATTAAATCAAATGGGCAATTTGTCAGACAAGTTTGCCTTAGAAGGCAATCATGCCGATTTGGCTCTGAAATGTTTCCTTCACTATCAGAAGATCTGGTGTTGAAGCCATCAGCATTCCCAGGGGATTGCTCAGACAGCCTCAGTCAACACTCCTAACTAACTGCTGAAATCCTGCCGACTACTCATTCCAAGACAGAGAACAACTTGCCTCCTAACTAATTTCCTTCCTTAAGGGTAAGAATAACCCAAAAAGCAAGTTGATGCCTCTCCTTGATTTTACATTTTGTTTTCCTTAAAAAACAACAGATCATCAAATCCATGTGAGCAAGGCATCTGAATGATACATCTCTGAACCGCTCTACAGCTCTGTAAACCCAGAAAGGTGTAAACCCAATTATAGACCTGGCTAGCCTCATGATTTAAAAAACCCTCTCATGACAACTTTTAGAGATTTAGAAAAAAAAATACAGATGTAAAACATATTTGTAAATTATACGATTCCAAAGTGCCACCTGCTGGTTTTGTCTAGAAATACTCCTCAGTAAAGCTTTCTCATGTACATCCAGAAGATGGAAACAGGGAGCTACATCCCACTGTCCTATTCAGACAGAAACACAGTGCTCTACACTATCATTATAAAGGAATGGCACCAAAGTTCACAAGTCCCTTATCAGAGTGTCTGTGAGGTCTGCAATATTTTGCTTCTCCTGAACAATAGTTTGCTTATACTTCCTGGGCATTATCAACTAAAGTTGTATGCTTTCCTTTCACTATTAGCTGTTAGAAACCTAAGTCCCAGCCCAGCCTCAGAAAAAAGTAAAAGACGTTAATAGATGCAGCTTGTACCCTCTGTTCCACTGCTTTACCCTTTGTGTCACCTTTCACATTTGCTTCTCATTGGACTTTTGAGTGAGTGTATGTGTGTATGTGTCTCCCTCCCTCCCCCCCTCCTCCCTCCCTCTCCCTCTCTCTCTCTCTTTCTCTCTCTCTCTCTCTCTCTCTCTCTCTCTGGAGCCACCTTAAATCTTTCTTTAAAACAAGCTGAAGTAGTGATAAGTAAATCTCTAAATTGAAATAAACATAATCAAGATAAGCAAATTAACTTTGAAAACACAAGGAGGATGGCTATATTCTGCTTTGAAGAGAGACTGCTTTGAAGACAAAACAATGCAGGAAGCAATCACAAAAGGCATAACCAGTGAAAGAACCCCAGACTACAAAAGACACCAGAGAAAGGATGGGCAGAGAGAGCAATGACCTGTCCTTTGGACATGATTGCAATGACACCCTTATCCACACCCTTCTACTCCTTTCACGCATGTTTCAAATGTCCTGCATCACCTCCCATTGGTTTCACAAAAGCTCTATAAATATACATACATACTAGTAACTTTCTGATTGACTCATCACTTACCAGATGTAAAAAACAAGGTTTTGAAGTCAAACTGCCTTACCTAATGTCTTCGTCTGTGACAATGAAAGCTTTGCAGAGGGGTTGAGATGTGTTGAGCCAAACAGCGGGGTTCTTTTCCACAGCAGAGGAGACTTGCCCTGTGATTGGAGCAGAGCTTGTGTGCAAAGCACTGGCAACAGCAGATAAAAGGGTCTCGTCATTACTACCTGGACCAACTCCTGCAATCAGAAAAACGAACTTGTTAAGGGAAATTTCTACATGTGCTTGGCAAAGCTATATCACCTAAAACAACCACTATTTTTATATTCATTTGGGATTACATATATATACATATAATTTTTTTTTGGGGGGGGGGGTCATATACTAAGCTGATATAAGCCAAAGCAGCAAAGGATTAGATAATATCTACTTAATAGTTATTATACACCAATGAATTAACATTAAGTAGTAACAAAATAGCTGAGCAATTCAATAAAACTTTAACATAATTTTAAAATACATTTTCCAAAAATTTTCCTCAACTTTTTAAAAGTTGGCTACATTTCCTTAAGCAAGGTCAATTATTATAATGATCTAAGTCCCTTCTGAAGACATATTATACTCAAATATCTCCCTTAATATTTTCCTAAATTATTCCTGGAATAGCTTTCTCTTGTAGCTTTTATCATTAATTTCCAGCAATGTCTTGACATTTACATTTCTTGTTTGAAGACTTCGAAGGAAAAGCCATTGCAAGCATGCTGTGCCTATAGTTCTACCAGATTTTTTAAAATACTTTACAAAATATCCAAGTTCATAGATTTACCTTCTAATTGCACAGTTTGACTACTTTTAGGAGACTGGCTCCTATGGCCACATTCAGATGCATTGCTTAAAGTCATAAATTTGTTAAAGCAAAAATTCCCAAGAGTAGATAGGAATGAGACAATATTCTAACCAAAGAATTTGAGTATTTTTAAGCAATCCCCAATACATGAAGATTTAGAAGCTGGAGTTCTCGTACTTGGAAAAGGATCTTCTCTGGAACTGGGAAGCAACATGATACGGCAGGCACCTAGCAGCTGAGCCTCCACCCGACCCCACCCCACGTGCTACTGTTGCTGCAGGACTGAGGTGCAGGGTTCCCACCGCTGTGCGTGCAGCAGCAGTTTGTGGAGGGAGAGGCAGGGGGAGAGCTGGTGGCTCTTCCTTCCGTAACAGAAAGAAAGAGCAGGTGCTGGGCGGGGCCAGATGCTGCTCTGAGCAGGAAGCCTGGGAAAGTCTGCCACTCAGCCCTGACGGGTTTGGTCGGCCTATAAACTGAAGGGTCCTGGGTTCAATTCTGGTCAGGGGCATGTGCCTTGGTTGCGGACGCATCCCCAGTGGGGGATGTGCAGGGGATGGCTGATTGGTGTTTCTCTCTCATCGATGTTTCTAACCCTCTGTCCCGCTCCCTTCCTCTCTGTGAAAAATTAATACTGCCACTCAGTGCATTTGGTTCCAGAAGCAGCACATGAGTTCACTTATATGAGAAACCTAACTGAAAGCCCACATTCTTACACAGAAAGAGTGTCTTAGGTAATGCGCTGCCCTGAGCATCCCTGCAAAATACAAGCGCTTCATGTACATTTCCCCCTGGGTTTCCACGAGGTCCCTCAGCCAGCAGGGCACACCATCCCTCCACCCTCTGACTCTGCAGCCCGCAGAGCCGCACACCGTGGACATGCCAGGGAGCTGAGGCAATACCTTGAAGGCCTTTGGGTAGCTCCATGGTTTTTATAATCTGTTCTGTTACATCTGATGCACTAAGTCCTTGTAGCCTCTTCTCCCAGAAAAGCTGTAAAGCAAAACGTCACTGTTAACAGACACGTTCTCGGGCAGAAGGGAGCGCGTCGATGCTGCTGAGTAACGAAAATGAAATCATTTCTGTCGTTTCCTCCTTTGCCCGCATTTTTCTTTACAAAAAGCTACATGGTATTCCAAACAGAAAGTACTTCAACACATTATAATTCTTTCAAATGGTGTTACTCACCGAAAGTTGTTTTTATTATTTTATGTAACCGGTAATAGTACTATAGATTGTCACATTATATACTATAAATAGTTCTCTTTAAGGAATCTTCCAAAGAACATAACTTAGATTTTTAAAGAGTCACTTGGTGTGAAAGTGTGATGTTATATTTTATCAGGGGAAAAAAAACAAATTACATTATGCAATACCGCTTTGTCCAGTGTCAGTAGGGAAGGAGTTCTTCACCTATGTGATTTTCCGAAGCACTCAAGTTTAGCCCGTTGGCATATTTTAAGGTGGGGAGGGGGGGTGAAAGATCACTTTTTATGGAAACTGCTCTGGGCATCAGTGAGCACACTAGAGGCTCTTCATACCAAGGGGCTACTGAGTAGCCAATTGCTTATCCAAACTCTAAATGGACCAGGACAGTTCTGCTATTTGATTTCATATCCCTTCTACACTTCATTCTCTCTCCTAGTTAGCTACCACTTCTCACTACTGTCTTTGACCCGTTCAGCATGCATGTACTGAGCTTCAACTCTGTGCAGTGCTTGCCCTGTGGATGCAAGAGCAGATAGCATAGTATATTTGTCCTCAAGCCTTCATCTTTCTCTAGTCTGTTTCATATGTACCTCTGCCAGAAAAAAAAAAAAAAAAATTCCTTAGGACTCCGTATCTGTCTTTAATCTTGGATCCCTGAGGCCTGTCACATAGGGGGTACTGAGAAAATGTTTGTGTGAATGACTAAATATGGGAGTTGCTGGACTTAGAATGAGGATCTTGAGAAACATTCAAACCCAAGTTGAAACACCAGCTCTCGATGTAGGACCTTGCCCAAGTTCTATAGCTTTAAAAGGCTCAATTTCCTCTTCTGCAAACTATGGCAGCAGTGACTATCACATAAGACTATTGTGGGGATTAAACAAGCCAGTACATGTAAAGCACTTGCCACAGAGCAAAGACCAGGCTTTATATTTACTTCTGGGCTTCTCATTCTGACTTCCAGATATAAAAAAGTATCAGATAATATTGTCCCCACCATCTCCCCAGAAAAATGCAAAGAGCCAGTAGAGTAACTGTATTATAGCAGAACTAGAGGCCCAATGCATGAAATGCGTGCAAGGGGCTTGGCCTTGCAGCCCCAGCTTCGTCAGAAGGTCTTCTGGAAGGACATCCGGAAGGTCGTTTGGCTGTTTGGTCTAATTAGCATATTAACTCTTTATTATATAGGATAGTAATATGTTGTATTACAACCACCTCACTGCTAGCACCAAGAGTACCTACAATAGAATGTTTCACTGCCCTCTGAATGCCTCTGGTGTGTAGTAAGATCTCCTTATATCTCTACACATTACATCATCAGCTGAATATGTGGTCAACATATGTGAGGACACAAACACATTAATCATCCTGGGTGAAAAATAGTTAGGTGAAGGTTATAAATGATGAATGTGATCAATGTCCCAAGAAACCCTGCCTGCTTTCTATTTTCTCTCCACGGGGAGTATCGTTAACTACAGAAAAGCTTTGAGTATCATTAACTACAGAAAAAGACACTGGAAACAAAGCCAGTTAATTTCTAATAAAAACATATTCAGAGGAATCAGTGAGTATAAGATTAGAAAATACTTTTATAGTGAATTTTCTATAGACATAATTTAATTTGCAAAAAATAATCAACACTACCAAAAAACAAAGTATGGGAAGTATGTACAGATATGATTAATAATATTTTACATCTAAAAATTCCAATTCTAAATGATCAAAAGTTACATTTTTACATTCCATAATTTTTAATTCTTAATTTTTAAATTTCTACTAATTCAAAGGGAAACGATGAGAAACCCAGCTTGCGGTGGCGGTAAGGACAGTGCAGCGTGGAAGGAGACCACTGTGCTGCAGAGTGAGATGCTGTGACTTAATCTCCTTCTGTGAATTTCTTAAAAGGCAGGCAGGCAACGGGGTAGGGTTCTGACGGGAACTAAATACAAAGGACACGTCCCTTCACTCCTCATTGAAAGAACCAAGGATTTCCAGCCCTCCTGCCACTCCTCATTGGGCGGATCGGGGGCGGATCACGGCCCAGGCTCCCGCCGGCTGAGCAGTCCGGGTCAAGAAGGAGGGAAACCCTAGGAAAGAGGAAACCACGACGGGAAGACTACACGAAAGCCTAGAAAAGGAGCTGAAGTTTGTTCTTTCTGGTCCAGTGAATAACATGGAGAGCTTTTAATCAAGATGTCCTGAAGCTGTAATTTTCTTGTTATTTTTACCCACCTATTGCCACGTTGTGATGATAGTAAAGCCTTTGGAAAAAACTCTAAAGGACTCTGAGGATATTTCAAGAACAGAAGGTAGAAGAGAATTAGGGAACACAAACTACATTTCTGTTTTGCAGCCAAGCAAGAGGAGAAAGAGACTCGAACCAGCAGCCATGATCTAGAGCAGAGGTTCTCACCCTTCACTGGCTGGCATGTGGAACTGGGAAAGTTCGTGTGGATGGTTAGCAGCAGCACTGGCCTACACCCACTAGATACCAGTAGCAGCACCCCGTTTGTGACTATCAAAAAGTCTCTAGATATGGCCAAGTGGCCCTGGTACATGGGGAGGGTGGGGATGTGGGGACAAAAATCAGGTCTGGTTGAGAACTACTGGTCCAGGGGAGGAGAACAGGAGACAGGTGGTCTGCAATGGCAGGGCCGGGTCTCCCCGCTGAAACACAAGGCAGAGCCCGCCACTGACACGCCATCACTGTAGCCACTCCTCTGTCCACTTTCAAGAGTCTCTGGCTAACTCCTCCTTCCTGGGCCTTTCAAGAACCACCCTAAGTGTCTTGGAGCTAGGTGCTTCTCTGTCACTGCCAGACAAGTAGGGGGTAAGACAAAGCAGAAATGGGAGAAACATTTCTTACCTCAGGAGTTGAAATTTAATGACTTCCTGATAGGGAAATAGATATACACAGTAATTTTTTTAAAATATTTTTATATTGATTTCAAAGGGGAATGGGAAAGGGACAGAGAGACAGAGACAGAAACATCAATGATGAGAAAGAATCACTGATTGGCCACCTTGTGCACACCCCACACTGGGGATCGAGCCCATAACCCGGGCATATGGCCTGACCAGGAATCGAACCATGACCTCCTGGTTCATAGGTTGATGCTCAACCACTGATCCATGCCAACCAGGCCACAATAATTAGTTTGTTATTTTGTTTTTAGGGTGTGTTTTTTTAAATATATTTTATTGATTTTTTTTACAGAGAGGAAGGGAGAGGGATAGAGAGCCAAAAATATCAATGAGAGAGAAACATCGATCAGCTGCCTCCTGCACACCTCCCACCGGGGACGTGCCCACAACCAACGTACATGCCCTTGGCCAGAATCGAACCTGGGACCTTTCAGTCCACAGGCCGATGCTCTATCCACTGAGCCAAACCGGTTTTGGCCACAATAATTAGTTTTAATAATTTCATTACACTTTAGCGTCAATGGTTTTTTTGTGGACTGCCCATTCCTAGTATCATTCTTATTGGAAGAGGTACAGTTCCAAACAACTAAAACAGGACATTTGATATACCACCCCGTACACTAGGAAGCATCTGTATGTAGAGATTTTAGAAGGACCTTTCTGAGAACATAAGCATGTGCAAATCTGTGACTGATACAGAGAAAGGCACAGAATGACTTCCGGTGTTCAAGGATAGGTACAGCAACAAAACAGAACTGGTGGATTGATCTTGAACATGTCAATTTCCATAAATGCTTAGTATGTAGCTATCAGTAGGGCCTGGCCAATTCTAAATTAAAAGCCCTGAGAAAAAGTGTCTCAACAAAGTGAGCCACACAAACACTTAAAACTTCCTTTAGCCCTCATTTATTGCCTTAAAAAGCATCTTCCACACATGATTATAAAGAAACACTGAAATTTCAATAATAAAACTAGGTAAAGTCCATTAAACTTCCCATATATCTGAATTCCCATCGTTTAAGTACCATAAGCTGAACATCAGCTTCTAAGTCAAGAAGCCTCTAACTGACTCCACAGCAGACTAAAAAAACTAGGAGCTCAAGCCTAAAGCCCCGAGCCTCCTCCCCACCCTCCCTTACCTCAGATTTCCTCTGAACCATTTTAGCATACCTTTCTTACCTACCTCCTGGTTCCGAGGAGTGAGCGTTCCACTACCTTCCTAAGACTACAAAACTTGAGTCTGGGTCAGAGCTTCTCCTGCCTCCTGCGGATCTTATCTCATCAACTTTTCCTCTCACCTTTTCCTTCCCCCTTTCCTCTCCTGGGGCTTCTTCCCCTGAAGTGACAGGTATACTCATCCTCTGACATCCTGAAAACTGTCCTTATTCATACTACTTCTCCCTCAAACCATCTCTGCCTTCCTCCTTCCACTAGACGAGAAACTTTCTTATTTCCTCACGTTCCATTCATCTTTTTCTTTCAAACCTGGACTCCACTCCTACTACTGTTAACACTGGCCTGCCCAGGGTCACAGTAACCTTCTAATTACCAAATCCAACTCCTGATCGATTCAAGCCCACTTTGCCCCACTTCACCAATGCAATTGAGGGCTGTCAGAAGACTCTGAAAGCTGCCTTTTCTGATGGTTCTCTCTCTGTTTTGTATTTCCTAACATTAAAAGTTAAAGCTTCTAACAGTAATTGTCAAAGAAATAAGACTATTAGCATTTTTTCTAATGGAAACAAATACTTAAAATGCCTAAGATGGGATATACCTATTAAAGTATGTGAAGACGAAAGTGTTAATACTTTGTAAAATAGAAGCAAAGTTAACTTTCAAACCTCCCCATTTTAAGAGTT